GAGTTTGTCTTTGTGGAGAGAAACTAGGATTGATAGACAACAAACTAATGTACAGAGATCAGTGATAGAAAGAAAACAAACTAATGTACAGAGATCAGTGATAGAAAGAAAACAAATGTTGTAGGGAACACTCTGATTATGTTATTGTTATTTGTCCTTTGTTCTGGAAGAGGACCACTGACGTCAGCACGGCGATGTCTTGACTTGCAAGTGAAGTGGATTTAAGTGAGGCAGGGCTGTGCAAAGTCATCAGCCTCACCCTCTCCTCCAGAGTCATCAGAGTGCAGTGGCAAGACATAAGTCAGGATGACTGGTAATGGCCCTCTGGTGGGAGCTGGCTCAGTATTGAATGGAAACACTTTACCCTAGCTCCTTTTTGTTTTGCTAAGTGGAATCAATGGGATGATCTAAAGGGGTTGTAGGGAAGCAATCCAGGGATATGCTGAGAGTTACAGGAAATTTTGCACCATAAATCAGATAAGATTTTGGATTGAGAGGTCCTGAGAAGAAGCAGGAGAAATGGGGCTTTAAAATGCCTAAGGACTTCTCTAGCTATCTGGCTGGTTGGGTGCAGCTGACTAGGATTAGTTTGGCAAAAGAGCAGCCATTGAGGCTATCAAACTGGGAAATTCCTAACTATTAGCATCACAGCTAAAAATCAGCTAGTGTTAACAGACAGCAATAGCAGTAACAGCTCAGTGAAGAAGCCCAGTCAAAGTGAGCAGAGGTCAATAGCACCTCATTTGACTGGATGCTAACCCACTATTGGGGAATTCCTCAACCTAGATATCCTAATATCCTCCTGGAAAGTAATTTCTCCCACTTTGGTCCATGTGACTGGAGGTCAATAAATCAAGAAGCAAGGCTAGGAGATAAAAAGTTTAATTAGCATTAGATTAACAGGATAGGTGATTTGAGGGATTGTAAATTGTTAACCTTGGTGTACTAGGAGTCAACAAAGATCAAGTTTATTTTGGTAGGGATGATTCTCTTTAGTTAAAACCAACAGACCATCATGGTAGGACTGGAAATCTTTAGTTAATGTCAGCAGAATATCAAGATGAGACTGGAGGTCTCCAAGATAGGGTAGGCCTCCAAGTTAGAATCAGTGGCTCTATTCTGTTTGTAAAAAAAATATAGACCGAGGGTCTATTTATGCAAGTTTGTAGCTCTCTTTCTTTGACCTCTAAGTCTACTTTTTCTGTGGAGATGTTTCTCCCAAAATCACAACATAGGCTTTACATCTCTTCCACACTCCCAAGTACCTCAAACCTGGAGCAGATGCTGGGAGGGCCCAAACATTAATAAAGAGGAGACCTGGTTAATACACAATATAGACATATAATTTGAGTCTATTAAGTTAAAGGATCAATTTATTTCTTTTTACTCATTGATAGTATCAAGCCTTTTTCACAAGATTATAAATATGACAACAAATATTTCTCAGGCACTGGCTACCTACAGAGTATTGTGCTATGCCCTATGAGAGATTCAAGGTTTAGCTAGTACCCAGTTGGAGTGTAATAGTAGGTTAAAACACCAACATAAACAATACACATTACATAATAACCACATTAGAGAGTCACCAAGCAAAATGCTATGTGGGCTTTAAGGAAAAGGTCATTACCAACTGGGAGTGGAGATTAGGGAAGGCTTCCTGGAAGATGTAACATTTTAATCGGCCTTTAAAGGGTTGGAAGGAATTCAACAATCAAAGAGAAGGTAGTAAACAAATAACCCAACAAAGTCAAAAGCATGAAAGCCAGAAGGAGATTTGTGCAATTCAGGCTGCACTTAGAGCATGTGGAAGGGAGCATTGTTTAGGCAAGGCTAGACAAAAGGCTGGTAAGGGTCATTTGAGGTTGTGGATTACTATGAATATTATGAAAAAAATTATCTATTAGAACAGTTTTTCCCAATCAAAACCATAGCCAGCATTTATATAGTTGCTATGTGCCAAGCATTGTGCTAAGAGCTTTTTTTGTTCAGTCATTTTTCAGTCATGTCTGACTTGATGACCCCATCTGACGTTTTCTTGGCAAACACTGGAGCGGTTTGCCACTTCCTTCTCCAGCTTATTTGACAGATGAGGAAACTGAGACAAACAGAGTTAAGTGACTTGCCTAGAGTCACACAGTTAATAAGTATCTGAGGTCAAATTTGAACTCAGGAAGAGTCTTCCGGACTCCAGGCCCAGCACTCTATCCATTGTACCAACTAGTTGCCCCTATAAACATATTTGACCTTCACAATAATCCTGGGAAGTAGGTGCTATTATTATCTCCATTTTGCAGTTGAGGAAACTGAGGCAAACAGGCCCAATATCAATCAGTCAACATTTTTTGAGCACCTACCATATTCCAAGAACTGTGCTAAGTACAGAGGTTACAAAAAGAGGCAAAAGGTAGTCCTTTTCCTCAGGGGGCTTACGAGTTAAGCTAAGTTTCACACAGCTAACTAGCTATCTAGTATCTGAGACTGCATTTGAATTCAGATCCTTTTGACGTCAGACCCAGCACTTACCTGCTTCATCACCTAGCTACAAATTTTGTCTTTGAACTCATAGAACATGGCAAATGCTTAACAAATGCTTGTTGAACATATTGCCTATAGCAGACTTCATTGCTCTTGGCTAGAAATTTGGGGGAAAGAGGATTCAGGGGTGAGTGGCACAATTAATCCATCAACAACAGTTATTATGCACCTGCTATGTACCAAGCACTGGGGAATGAAAACACAAAAATGCTGGAAGATTCTGACTTCAAGTAGTTTACATTCTATTAGGGGAGACAACATATTTGTGTTTATAAATACAAAATAAATACCATATAAACACAAGGTAGTTAGGCAGGGCACTAGCTGGGGGTGGCAGGATGGTGGGAGGTATTTCTGTTAGTGAATCAGGAAAAGTTTTGTTACAGTGATGCTCGAGTTAAGTGTTGAAGAGAGGAGGGATTCTGTTAGGCAGAAGTAAGAAGGAAGGGCATTCCTGATATGAGAAGCAGCTAGTACAAAAGCAGAAAGACAGGAAATGGAGGCCTATGTGTGAGGAAGAGAGAGCTCAGTCGGGCAGGACTGTGGCTTACAGGAAGAGGGGTGATGTAAAAGGAAGCCGGGGAAAGTTATATGTTATCAACAAACAAGCAACAGAGGGGAAAAATTATCTTTTTAAGTAATTGGATTTTTAAAAATAAGGACCTTTGACACTGGAAGTTTTGCTGACCAGTATATAACATGCCTGGCAGTTAGACAGCTCAGGGGATGGAGTGCTGGGCCTGGAGTCTAGAAGCCCTGAATTCAACTCTTGGCCTCAGACACTAGTTGTGTGACCCTGAGCAAGGCACTTAACCCTGTTTGCCTCAGTTTCCTCAGTTGTCAAATGAGCTGGAGAAGGAAATGGCAAACCATTCCAGTATCTTTGCCAAGAAAACTCCAAATGGGGACAGGACTGAAAAACAACTAAAAAATATGCTAAAGATTTACAGTTGAGAAGCACTATACTAGATTCTAAGTGCTTTGAGGAGGGGGACCAGGCCTTCCTTCTCTTTGTATTACCCATGCTTAAATACTGTAAATACTCAGTAAATGCTTGTTGTTCTAAAAAGGAGAAAAAAAACCCACACCACATAACTACCTCTAAAAGTTTATCCATGTCATAGAAACTTAAGGTTCACTGCTAAAAAGTTGGTTTTTAAACTTTTGGCATTTAGCCTCATCCAAGATGATGTAATAATAAATATTGTACACTTAAACACTCTCTGAAATACATGTATTTTTAAAAAAAGTAACAGCCCTATGAAGTAGTGGGCTGATTCTATTCATTCTACTCTATTCATAATCTTTGACAAATATTTACTAGGCAAGCATACACTATGTGAATGGCATGCTATCAAGTACTTTAAATACCCTTTCCATATTTTTTTGGTACACTGCCTTGCTGCCTCCCACTTCACTGCCATTCTAGGCATACCTCCATGAAAACGACTGTTTTTCAATATATCACCTGTTTCTTTTTGCCATTCTCCACTGTGATATCCTAATTCTAAAAATTACGTAAGTAAATATGGCTAGACTAAAAAGGTACCCACCCCAAGATGTTATAAATACAGGAGAAGAGCAATTGTATGAGAAAACTCTCCTGCTCTGAAGCTAGCTTGTTATGTTAAAATAGAATGAGCCATCAGGGGACCTAGGTTCAAACCCTGACACTACCACTTTACTATACATGTGTGACTCTGGGCAAGTCAGTTCACCTCTAATTCCCAGTGAGGGAATTGTACCAGTCTTCTTATGCCTTACACTGGCCTCCTAGCTGTTCCACGAACAGGAGCTTCCCAACTCCTTGCGTTCTCTCTGGCTGTCCCCCATGCCTAGAACACTCTCTGCTGATCTCCCAGGCTTCAAGTCCCAAGGCTTCCCTAAGCTCTTACAATCCAGCGTCTTCGCTTTTTAAATTGTTTCCTATTTAACTATACACTTTGCTTTGTATAGAAGTTTGAATGTTGTCTTCCTCATTAGACTGCAAGCTCCTTCAGGGTGGGGATTAAATTGTGCCTCTTTTTTTAATTCTCAACGCTTAGCACTATGCCTGGCATATAGTAATCAATCAACCAGTATTTATTAAGCTCCGCTGCTTGATTGATCACTGTTAAGCTCCTGTAGAGTTTGATGTTGATTGATTGATGAACTTTAAGTTCCTATTGAACTCTAAATATGTGATCTTATGTTGAGGTATAGCGGTAAACAAAACAAAACACGGTATGGGGGTTTTATTGAAGTACAAGAAGTAAAGAACAAAACATAAAAGCCGCATAGCCTATGTGGTGGAAATAGGCTTCCACAAGGAGCCAGGCTAGCCACAGCCCCCATTAGTAGATTCCATCATTGAGGTTAAACGTCCCGGGGAAGCCGCTGGTGGAGTCACTGAGGGTTCTCACGTATAGACTACAAGAGGCTGAGGCTCTCTGGGCCACCTCCAGACTCTGCTTCGGCCAGGACAAGCCCAGGAATGCAAGCAGTCTGCAGCCCAGGACCTCAGCCGGCACAGCGCTGCTCACTGTGGGATCACCTACAGTCCAGCCAGGGCCTGGGGCCAAGGCACGCAGCGGGGGCCCTTCCGGGGCCGCAGGCACCAGAAGAGCCTGGGGCCAGGGGAGGCGGTGCAGATAACCGCAAGGGGAGGTAAAAAGGGAGCGACAGCAGCAGCAACTGCAGCCGCCGCAGAGGGGCGCGGCCAGGGCGGGGCGGGCCCGGCGGGGCTGTCTCCCCGCGGGGCTCACCCGGTAGCCCCCTCCCCAGCCAGTCCCTTCTCCTCTCTTTCCACTTCCGCTGCACCAGACTGGGGTAGTTGCTCTGCGGTATGGAAGCGAAATGCGAGCCTGGGGCTGAGTAGAGGAGAGGGAGGCGGCCCGCGGCGCTGCACTGCGCCCCGGCGCAGGATGCGGCGGCGCTGCCAGCCGCAGCTGCAGCTGTCCCTGGGTCAGTGGCTGCGGCTGCTGTGGCTGCAGCCGCTGGCCTTCCTCCCCGTGGGCCTGGTGCAAGGGGAGGAGGTGGCGGCGTTATCAGGTAACCGTGCAACCTCGCTCGTGCACCAGCTCTTTTCTGTCTTTGTTTCTTTTCTCTCCCCCCCCCCAACGCAAGGAGGTTTTAGCAGTTGTGCGCCTGCCCCATCCGTGGGAGGGGAATTTGCTTTCCCAGTGGAAGCCCAGCCCCTGGCACCAAGACTTCTGAAGGCGGGCTGGGCTGGTCTAGTTCTTTCCCTCCTCCCCCACCTCGTCAATTTCCCTTATGTAAGTGACCCCAGCCAGATGTGTTGGAACACCTGACACGGGTAGAAGGCGGAGTGCAACTCTTTTTTTTCTCTTCTCCCTCTCCTCAGCTTGCAGCGACACGCAGCACCCCTATACCTTCCAACTCTTGTACGGCCTCTCAGCCTCTTTCCTGTATGCACCATTTCTCACAAGCCAGTTTTTTGTTTGTTTCCCTTCTGTCTCAAAAGTCTGGACTCATCTTGCCAAATGTAGTGTCTCCTTTATTAACAGTTTCACTGTATGGATGTATCCGAACCTTGGAGGCCTGGGTCCCAGGGACCTTGTCCCAGTGGAGCATGGAATGAAGGCTCCTGGTTCTTTCTTAGGTCTCCCAACAGCTTTCTTTGGCCTGTGGCAAGGGTGTGCAGAACTGAATAAATATCTATCTTCTGGACCCCAGATGACTATCTGGAGTTGGGGCCTGCAGGGTTCTAGCCCATTTAGTTTTGCTGGAAACCTCGTTTTTTTCCCTCTTAACTTTCGATTGGGGGCAGTGTTTACCAGATTCATTTTGTTATCATCCCTGAGAATCAGTTTTTTTCCTTATGTGAGCGTCAGCAGTACTGCTTTTCATCAGCCAGCTTCACAGTCCAGGCTTTGCCATTAAATTAACCTTGTGATCTTTAGCAAGTCGCTTAAGCCTCCTTAGGCCCCTTTTTCTTCATCTCTAAAATAAGGGGGTTGAATTAAATGATGGTGATTTATTGTACTCTCCTATTTCCCCAGAAACCCTCATCTTAAGAAATGGGGAGCGTGCAGGCCTCCACAAAGCCACCTTGCCCCTTTTGGAGGGAAGCCAGAGTCAGTTAAAGGGGAGGAGCTAGTGGTTGGCTGGCAGTATAGAGTAGAAAGTTCGAGTGGAGAACCCTCCCATGATTTTTGGCCAATAGGTGGAGCCCCTAGGACTTTGAAGTTTTTTGTTTGTTTCCCTTCTGTCTCAAAAGTCTGGACTCATCTTGCCAAATGTAGTGTCTCCTTTATTAACAGTTTCACTGTATGGATGTATCCGAACCTTGGAGGCCTGGGTCCCAGGGACCTTGTCCCAGTGGAGCATGGAATGAAGGCTCCTGGTTCTTTCTTAGGTCTCCCAACAGCTTTCTTTGGCCTGTGGCAAGGGAGTGCAGAACTGAATAAATATCTATCTTCTGGACCCCAGAAGGTGTCTGAGGTGTCTGGATATCCAGTGTGTGAAATTCACACTAAGTCAGTTTCCATTTCTTAAACCCTGCATACTTTTTTCATTGTCATCTCTGATCTGAGGAAGTCTGTTCTTGAAATTAAAAGCAGATCTCTGGGCACATCAGTGCATATAATAATTACAGTCCCAATTTCATACTTCCTATAATAGGTCCTCTGGAGAAATAAAAATATTTAAAGACATCTGTTTAAGCAGGTCAGAGAGAAGTCATAGAGATTTCGAAATACAGTTTAGTATGAATTGATCCCACTTGCCCTCTTGCAGCTTGAACCCATTCCATCTCTCATTAATAGGAACAAAAGACAAGCAAGTTCTTGTCCCAGAGTGAAACTTTCTCTGCCCCCTCTCCCAACCACTAAAGAAACCGAAACAGAGTACAGTTTGATAATCATTAGATTAATGTTTTTGACTTGGTCATGTTTTGAAATATCTGTTTAACACATAAAAGAAACTTAAATTTTATGGAAGTACTTTGCTAAAATCATTTGAAGAAGCAGGCTCTGGGACTGATTTTGGCGTCACAAAGACCTGAATTTGACAAGACCTGTCTTTGACACATTAGCTGTAGTTTCATGGGCAAATCTCGATAGCTCTTGGTTAAGACAGTGACTCTGGAGGAGAGAGTGAGGCTGAGGACTTCTCAAAGCTTGCTCCACTCATCCAGTTCATGTACAAGGCAAGAGATCACCTTCATGATGTCATTGGTCCTCTTAGAGAAGGATGAACAACAAATTACATATGAGGTACTGAGTTGCTGATGTTTCAGCGAAGTGAGTTCCAACTGGTGTTCTCTACACCCATAAAATCACAATTTCTGCACCAAAAAACCTTGACTGAAATTTTTTGGGGAGTAGTTTTAAGGTTGCCTAAGACTGGGAAGGTATTATCTTCTTTTTTTTTTTTTTAAAGATAGCCAAAAATCAACCAAAGCTATGTATTACTTCTAGAATTTTGACTGAAGCTTTGTTTTACTGAGTTTGAACTTTTAAAAATAGTTTTGAACATAAGAATAGAATAAATAGTAATCATATGTTTAGAGCTGGAAGGGACCTTAGAGTCCATTCAAACCAACCTCCCTCATTTTAGGCGTGAGGAAACTGAGGTGAAGGGAGGTTAAAAAAAAAGACACAAACAAGTATTTATGTTTGTTGACACACTCCTATGAGCTCCTACTATGAGCCAGGCCCTGTGCTAAGAGTTTTATGGGCAAAGCCTAAAACCTGTTGGAGACATTAGAAAACCGTTCTTTTGGTAACTTGCAAGGGACAATAAAAAAAGAAAGACAAAAACCAGTCCCAGCTCTCAAGGAACTCAATCTAATAGGGGAGACATTCATTCATGTATACAATATAGACAGGTAAAGACAGATTATTATTGGGGATAATCTCCATGGAACAGTATTGGCATTAAGGTAGATCAGGAAAGGCTTCTTGTAAAAAGTTGGAGTTTAGCTGAGACTTGAGAGAAGCCAGGAGGTGGAGATAAGGAGGTAGAGTATTGCAGGCATAAAGGACAGCCACTGAAAAGGCTGAGGAGTGTAGTATGGGAGGACCAGTGAGCCAGGAGGCCAGTGTCACTGGATCATACTGGAGTATGTGGAGGGGAGTGAGGTATAAGAAGCCTGGAAATGTAGGAAAGGCACAAGTTATGAAGAGCTTTCAAAACCAAAGAGAGGATTTTATATTTGATCCTGGAGGTAATAGGGAGTCACTCTCCTTGACCTTTGCTTTGGGACGTTCAATTTGGCAGCTGAGTGGAGGATAGACTGGAATGGGAGAGACAGACCAGAAGGGTATTGCAATGGTCTAGGCTTGAGATAATGAGGGCTTGCACCAGGATGATGGCATCGTCAATGGAAAGAAGGGAGTGTATACTAGAGATGGGAAGATAAAATAAACTGGACTTGACTGCCACTTGGTTATGGGTGATGGAGAGCGTGAAGAGTTGAGGTTTTGAGCCTGAGTGATTAGAAGGTTAAGTGACTTCCAAGGGTCACACAGCTTGAACCCAGTTATTTCTGACCTGCCTTATAAATGAAAAAAAGTACTTATGGGGAGGAACAATCGATTATTGATTAATGGAATCTGTTTCTGAAAAAATTACATAAATCATACAGAAATGATTTAGGGAGGGCCTTACTGTTTGAAGAAGATCTGAAATTTAAAAAATTGATCATTTAATAATGAAATTAATTACATCTGTTTTGGAAGTTTGGATTTATATGGGATATTCTCAAACTAAGGTACATCTATACAAACAAAGAACCAACCTCTTAAGTAAGACTTAATGTAAATCTTAAGCAAGACTTGGTGAAAGGATAGCCAAAGAGCTAAGTCAGAGGATGAGATGTGAATTATTCCATGGCTGATCAGACATCCAAGCGTGGTGTAATGGAAAGAACACTGGATTTGGAGATGGAGGGCTTGGTTTGAATTCCATCGCTGCTCCTTACTCCTACAACCTGTGTGGCCTTGGACAAGCTCTTTAGCCTTTCTTATGTCTCCCTTCCCCCAGGTCCCTTCCACATCTAAATTATCTAATCTCCGATGGACTTGCTAGAACAAAACATCATAAGGATAGCAGCTAGGGCTGTTCCACACAAGAATATTGTAACCACTTTGAGGTGAAAAATGCCATTCTTGGGTCCTATAAGATAAGCCAGAGACAAGATTTCTCCAGATCTTTTGAAAGGATCAGATTTTTAAGAGTCACACAGAAAGGGTCTTAGGTAGAAAATAAAGGGGGGTGACTAGTCTTAATACCAAATGGAAAGTGTGCAGATTCTTATCAGACATGACATTCTCCTGCTTGGATAGTCATTTTCTTTTTTAAATTGTTTTTCCTCTCTATTTTATTTTTAAAATTTGTGTTATTTATGCTTTGCTCCTAAAACATACCAAAAGAACTTTCCCGTTTAACCAAGAAAAACAGTTACTGATTGTGTTTCCAACATTCCAAACCTACAGAGGCAGCTGGGAGGTGCAGTAGATGGTGTGCTAGGCCTGGAGTCAGGAAGACTCAAATTAAATGTGATGAAAGATACTCAGTAGCTGTGGAACCCAAGGCAGCTCACTTGACTGCTTTTAGCCTCAGTTTCCTCATCTGTAAAACAGGGTCTTAATGGCACCTTCATAGCATCATAACTGTCTGAGGGTTATTGTGAGGAGCAAGTGAGATAATTTTTATACAGTGCTTAGCACAGTGCTTGGCACAGTAGTAGAGTCCCCCAGCTCTCTTCAGAGAAGAGAAAGATGCTTTTTCATCTCAGAGGTCATTCAGTGGTCATTTCATAGCATAGATATATTTGACTCATTAGAATGCAAAGCATTTTTAAAAACTGCCCTCAGACATGACGTCCATCGTGCATTAAAATCATATGAGACTTTGACAGATGTAGCTGTGGAGATAACATTGTTCAGTGATACATTCAGTACTGACATCAAGTGAGGTGATAAGGACATTATATATTTGCCTAAGGAGTCCACCACTGACATGGAAAATGTCCAGGCAGAAGTCCAAATAAAAAGATTCTCTAGTTTTTTCTTTTTCTTTTTAAA